TGGCTTATGTGCTTCGTGATGGTGGATATACAGATTATGGTGAATTGCTGAAGGTACGTTTCTCAACTCCTCAAGATCGTTGGACAGAGTACACTAAGTTCTTGGTTGAATATGGTCAATTTGATTGGTATTTACCCAAACTTATAAACAGTTATCAAAACCTGATTCCTAAATCAGTACGAAGTAGATTTGTCATGAAAAGAGATCTTGTAGATTTATTATTAGGATAATATGGGTTGGATCGTGGGAAGGTCAGTTTGGACTTTTATATCGATGGTGATGAGAAAGATACGGTCCTGTTAAGTTTGTATCCTGAAATTCGTTCAAGAATGGATCAAATGGATGTCAAATATCTAAAACTTGGTTCTGATTCTTTTCTTATTTATGACAATTTGAATGTTAAATTTTGTGTTAATTGCTGTGGATTTGGTCATTTGCGCCGTTCTTGTGTTTCCACAACCCGTTGTTATAAATGCTCAGGTGGTCACGAGGGTGTCGAGTGTAATGTTTATGATCGAAAACTTTTAATTTGTTCTTCATGTGGATTAAGTGGTCACACTGTTATATAAACAGTGTAAGGTCTTCCTATCTAAAATTCAACTAGCTTTTGGAACGTGTTAATTTTAATTACAAAAGCTGATCTTGGAACATATTCATAATATCTAATTTTGGTGGCAATTAAGAAAAGAAAGATAGGTGGAGACTCATGATTTGTCATTGATTTGTAATAAGTTTGTATTTTGATTTTCTATATGAGTATTTCCTCTACTTTTCTTTTAATGAAATAAATTGTCATGGAGAATTTTCATTATCCCATTTTTTCTATGTGAATTTGATTTCAATATAGAATTTAAATATTTTCCTTTATTATTGTGTTCATAATTCTCAACAATCAAAAGAGATTGTGTTATTCGTTAAAGTGAAGAATAAATATCGTGTCAATTTGTTGATAACCCAATCTTTCGTGAGATTCTATCAACAAATGATATGTTATTGAGTTATCAAAGTAAACTCTACCCAGCTTTTGATGATTTGTTGTTAATTAAGTGATGTTTGGTCGAAAATTGATGAAGAATTAATATTAGTGATCGTTCTATTGTTTATTTAATTGTGTTTTCTTAGAGATTCAATCCGATACGGATATGGATCAAGAAAAATTAAGAGACGGAAGTAAGAGGCTTTTGTTAAAGTCGCGATTTTATAAACGCCATCAATTAACTTGTTAATTTAGTTTGATTTTAAAATTTTGATTCCTTTTCTATATTCAATTAACTTTGGTGTTTAACATGATTAATTTGTGTGTTTTGTGTTGCCTGTTTGACTTTTATTTAATTTGTTTAGCCTATTAATTATTTTATTTAAATGACATTGTTTTATCTAATTTGAAATATCATCGATCAATTATTATCAGTTAAAGTTAAAAACCTTTCAGTTCTGTAAATATGGAAATTGGTATTCAATCAAGATCAATCACTTTTTGGATACTCGAAGAAAAATTAATATTGTTAAAGTTTCTTGCTGTCAGTGGTTTAACTAAATCTACCTGATGATTCAATTAATTTGGTGTACTCATCTAATGCTGGAGAAGTTGTAAATCTTTTAAAGGAAGTGAAGGTATTGTTGATGTTGTTGAGATACCATATCAACAACATGAAATTTGTTCTTTAAATGCATCAATGTTACTCTTGAAACAAATTTCTTAATCATCTTGCTCATCAATTGGTTTTCCCAAATGGAGTTTATTTTAGTTGAATTCTGTACGAAACAGGAGATGTTAACGATCAAGTGTAGTCCATCAATTTACCGAAGATTGCATCAAGCAAGTGAGTATAATACTAAAATTATTTATTGTGACTTTAATTGATTCAATTATTTCGATTATTTCCTTTCTCTTTTTATAAAAAACTTAGAAATGTTGACCACTTACCATGGTTCTTACGTTTACTTTTTTGATAATATTGGATATTTACAATGTAGTTTTTGTAAACGAAGGTACACTGGGTTACATCATAACTGTGCAAGGACATTGGTTTGTTTTTCATGTGCTCAGCCTTATCATAATCCAAGATGTTTCCGGTTCAAGAAATGTGTACAGTGTGAGTGTGAACACGATGAACAAGTCCAACGTGCCTAAGGTTATTAAATATCGTAAGAGAGGGTTCATCAGCTTTTTGTGTTGATCTAAAAGATATTTATGTTCATTGTATTCGATAATAATTGTAATCGTTTACCAGTTTATTTGGTTTCCAATTTCAGTTCGGTTAATTGCTAAAAGTTTTGTCTGACCTTTGTTCATTGGTAGTATGTGTTAGTTGATAATTTGTTGAGAGACTAGTAAAGTCAATTAATTTTATCAATTTGTTAATTTGTATTTCTCTTAGTTCGATGTCCATTTTAACAATGTAAACTGTACTCCGATGTGACGTAATAAAGGATCAAATTTAATTTCTTCCTTTCGTTTAATAATTATTAATAGTATAATGGTATACTTGGTTTGTTTGTTTATTCTCAATGTCTAAATTTTAAACGATATTTATGTAACTTCGAAGTTAACAGATGATTTAATTTAATTTTTGTAGTCAAATTAATTAAGTTAATAATTGATTAAAGGAGTTAGTCATATAAAATTAATCTTGAATGATTAAATTGGTAATAAGCGGAATCTATTGATTACGAATAGTTTATTTTAGTTTCTTAAATTCAGTTAATCTACATAAATAATTTAAAGATGATTTAATTTCAAGTTTGAGTTTTTGATTAACCAATTAACTCAGCTTAGTTGGAACAATAATCTTCTTGTTAATAAGTTAATGAGTTAAATTATAAGAATAGAGAAATAAAATGCATAGTTATCAAAATCGTTTAATTAAACCTGTTACCTCTTTCAATTTGAAGAAAATAATATAAATTGAAGAGAGAGTTTTTGGTACTAGAAACTAAATACGTGAGAATTAAATCATTAATTTATTTAATCGAAAAAATAAAGTGAATAATGACCGTTTGTAAATATATATTATTCGTGGTTATAATCTGTTTCAATCAAGTAGGTTTTAGAAGTAGTTTGATTTAGTCTCGATGAAGATTTAAATGATGTTAAGTTAATCATAATTCATTTGTAAAATTTTTTTTTAAAAAAAAAAAAATTTAATAATTCTTTAATTTAGATATAATTGTTTATTTAATTTTCGTTAATATGTATGTAAAATCAATTAAAATCGTTCTTTTCAAATTTAAATTTGTATAATTTACATTTGAGAGGATGAGAACAGGAGAGATGAGAGTAGATGAAGAGAAAAAGGAGAGGGAGGAAGAAGAGAGAGAAAGAGAGAGAGAATTGAAGAAGGAGAAATGTAATCGACAGATATTTAATGGTTTGAGATGATCTTAAAGAGATATAATTGTAGTGATAAATGAAGAAAAAAAATCAATGTTTAAAAATGTTGAAAGAAAAAGTAAAGTTAATTAACAATAGAAAAGACAACGACGTACCAAAACTGATCCACAAACACAAGAAGAGAAAAAAAGAAACCAATGAATCTTCCTAATCAAGATGAAATAATTTCGTTTCACAAAGAGAGAAAAATTTAAATTAATATAATCATAAAAATTGATTACTGAAGAGAGGAGAAAAGAAAATAATAAAAGAGACTCAGAGGAAGATAAGAGAAAGAGAATGAAACAAGATTAGTTTCGAACTTAACCGCTGTGTGTCTACCATCAAATTCTTTTTTTCATAGAATAGAATTTGTTTTTTATTCTTTTCCATCAGATGTTGATTGTAATTCTATGGAAACTTGACCAAGTGACCAGACTCAATTCGTTGTTAAATGGACATTAAATTTAATATTCTTTTTATCATTAAGTTTCTTCTTCATCTCTGCTGATTTACCTTTTCTCTTCTTCTTCGTCTTCTTTTTGTGTATCAACTTTAATGTTAACTGATTTTAAGTAGGTAAGTGACAGAGAGAAAGTTGGAATTTTTTTCCTTCTTTTTGTATTGATCGCTTCAAGCTGGTAATCATTTGGAATTAATTAATTATGATTTATATCTTAACCTTAACCTCGTTTAATTGTGCTTAATATTGATGGTTAATAACAACTACTCAATGAATATCAACATTTTCACTTGAGCCTTTTAACTGTGTGTTGATTATGATGACTGTTTAACATTTTTGATTATTGGGATACCAAATTTTCATTGTTTTTTCAGTGTGTTTTAAATTTAGTTAAACAACAATTGGATCAATAGACTGAAGAATTAACGACTTGATTGTTTATATTATGTGTACTATATCGATCAATCTACTTGATTCTTTCAGTTTACTCTCTTGTCGTGATGTTCAATCAACTTTGATTATTTTAACATGATAATTATGATATAAGATTAACCTTTTTAAAATGTTATCTTATTTACTGAATTAATTGTCTATTGTAACAAAATTCAAAGTCTTAGACAATTAATTATTTAAACAGTCGTAAAGAAAAACGTAAGACTAATTGTTCAATGATCAACATTTATTATTCAAATCAGAGGTAAAGTTATAAAGAGTAAATTTAACAAAAATACAAATTGATAAGTAATTAAATTAAGATTGACAAAAGTTTCATTGTAAACGATTTAGACAGTAAATTGTGAGAACGTTTTACTTTCTCTTTTTACTGTTAATTGTTAAGATTAAACGGGTTACTGATTAATCAAAGTTTCTCGGCCAAGGTTGATTACAATTGAGTGAACAAAGTCTAACAATTGATCAATTTTCATCATTTTTTTTTCTCAACTATTACTTTCAATCAACAGTTTCCATTTTCACCATATTCATTGGAGCTGAAAGCGTTGGATCTGTGGAAACCATTGGTCAAGATTATTTTGCTGGACAATTAAATCAAAAGGATTCGATGAGAAAAACATATATTGGATATATGAGAATTGTTGATAATTATAAAAAATAGTAGATTAATTTTTAAGTTGATCATTGGTGATATTCAATTTACTTTAAGGATTACAAATTCCCTCGTTGTTTTTGTAACCTTTCAACGGCTTCGTAAAGAGCTTGGACATTTCCAGCACCGAAACCAGAATGATTGTTTCGTTGAATAATTTCGAGGTAACTTGTTGGTCGATCAAAAAGTGGTTTACCAAATAACTGGAGGATATAACCATTTTCATTGAAATCGCAAAGGATTTGCAGTTTTTCCAGTGTATCGATTGATTCTTTTATTGAGATTTTAGATGAATCTAAACGTTGTCGTAATTTATCATAATAACTTGATGGAATTTCAAGAAATTGGACTCCCCGAGCCCTAAGGCCAGTTACCGTTGCAACAATATTATCTGTTCGAAGGGCAAGATGTTGAATTCCCGATCCATTGTTATACTTTAAGAATTCATGTAATTGGGATAATTTATCTTCAGCCGATGGTGCGACTAAATTGATTATTACATCTTTGGACTTATTAGCGACAATGACCATGTTCAAGCGACTTTTATCCGTTTTAACTTTAAAGTCATCTACAGAGTAAAAAGTTTCCAGGCCTAATTTACTGTAATAATCGAAAGCTTTTTCTAATTGTCCAGCATTAAGAACCGGAACAAAATGGTCAATAACTTTGAATGATACTCGATATTCTGGTGAAATGTCCAGTGGCTCATCGAAATTTTTTGATTCAAGAGGAGGATGAAAAGAAGGTAGAAATGTACCCGAGTAACGAGTTCGTTCAATTAGTGTGTGTGTAATATCACCGAAAGGTGAAATAACGGCCATTCTAACGGAACCATGTTGATCACTTTCTGTCCAAGGTTGACGGATAATTTCAACTCCATTTGTGACCAATTTGTTTAAATAATTATCCAAACAATCAACCGTAAAGGCGACATCTTTAACCATATCACCTCTAGAGGAAACAATTGACCAAAGGTCACCCGAACCATATTGATAAGTTGAACATAAAACCAACACAACGTCACCTTGGGAAACAACATATGAGCACATTGATCGGCTTCCAGTTTCCAAACCCTTATAACCAATTAACTTGAATCCAAAGAAACGAGTAAAATAAGCGGCCGCATATTTGGCGTTTGAAACATAGAAAGTTACATGATCGATACTAATTATTCCCGATTGTTTACTTAATTCAGTTATTTTATTTACTTGAGTGACGACCATTTTTGAACCTTTGGTTTATTTTTCGTTGATTGATAAAAGTTTCACGAAAGTTACGCACCAATAACGGCCACCAGAAAGATGCAGAACACAAAGGGAATCACAAAATTCAATTAATAATTTAAAGGTAAGAAATTAAATCAAATTAAATATTCAAAGGACACACAGAGAGGTTGTAACAATTTAAGTTGAAACCCTTTCTTTTGAGATTTATCGATTTCAAATCAAATGAAATGTTGAATTTTCAGATGATTAAGAACGAAAATTTTTTCGTTTCTTGTCAACAATCAATTTGATTATAACAAAGTTAATCAGTCTTTTAAGGCCAACTAGTTTGTCAATTGTTTGACACGTTGGGTTAAATCAATTTAAAGCAATTTTTATCTTAAAAATTGAATGATTATCACCAGTCTGGCTACACCCATGCCGATTAACCCTCTCTTGATTTCACAATTAAGTGTCTTGCATAATATACTTAATTAAATCATGACTAAGGAAATGTTGATCACGAAGACAACATAAGATTTTAAGAATCAACATTGAAAAAGAAAAGTGAATTTCTGATCATTTTATTGAATTATCTTTCTTTTTCATTTGATTTCGTAAATGATCAACAACTCATCCTTATTGTCGAGTTGATTATGGATGGTAACAAAATTAAATTAGTTACATATTCTTGGGCAATAAATCAGTTAAGCGACACTCAGAACGTGCAAAGATAACCAAATATAAATATAACTCTTCATTATAGAGATTATCTTATATTTGAGACGAAAACAATTTAATCATAAATGTTGAAATCGTTCTAACGGTTGATTGTTGTGATTAACCAAAGTTTCTTGGTCAAGGTCCATTAAAACTGAGCAAGAAAAACTTTGACAATCGATTTAATTTCAATACATTTGGTTTTCTGTCACTTTTTTTACCTTTAGTTGATCTTTGAACATCTGATTACTGTTGATTATCAAGTTGATTAAGTAGTTAATCAATTGATTACTATAAATATTTGTACTTTGATAACTTTGTTAATCAAAACATTCTAAGATTTGATTTAACTGAAATTTTCTTGTTCGTAATTATTTAACTTGCATTGGTATTCATCTTACAGTAATTAGTATATTAATTAAAGAATCAAATACATGTATTACATGTGTTCAATTATTCACAGAATAGATTATTTTATATTAATTTCTCATGATATTTGCTGTTTTCAATTGATTTTCAAGTTAAAATCACAATCAGAAACGCACAAGTTAATTTTTTCAAACTACAATAAAACAACAAAAGGAAATGAATTAAATTAAATGTCCAGTAATTAAGTAACACGGTCAAAGTATTTACATGTTCAATTAGTATTGAATTAGCATAGCTGAGGTTATAGCAATTAAAAGTAATGATTATTGTTGATTGACTGAATGATAAGGATTAGATAATTGTTGATCTATTTGCGTTTTTTGTTTCGATTTTCATCTCATTGGTACGGTTAATTTTAGGAATATCTCTTAGTAAGAGCAGGAATGTAGTTAATTGTTGTTAAGATTTGAACACTTTGATCAACTTTGCAAACAAAACTTTTTTTTTCTCTTTAATTGTAATTGCATTTTCCTGGATTCATTGGGATTACGTTGATTCCATCCAAGGTATTGCGATTGAAATTAAATTGAATTATTTCCATATTGGTAAAATTAAAATCTTGGTTAGCTTTTGATAATCGTCTATTTATTGATTGGATGACTAATTTTTATGCTTAATTGCAAGGTTGCATTGAAGGTGATTGTATTACTGTTGAGTCTAAGGAAGTGCCAGTGTCAGCTAACCTGTTGTTTCAATTGAAGGATAAAAAAAGAAACACAATTGATTAGTTAATTGATATAAATTGTATCATATAATTGAGATCTTACATCAAGAGATCATCACTTGGTTTACTTGTGGCCACAACGGGAGCATTAGTGGTCGCGGGTGTTTCGATACTGTCAAACAAATCTAAAAGGATACCACTGGTTGGTGCTGCTGGTGTTGGTTCAGGCTCAGGTTCCGTTGGTGAACTGAGAAAAGGATTAAAAGGATTCGTAGAGGATTTCGGTTGATCTTGAACAGTTTTCGGCTGAGATTGAATTGATGTTTGCTGTCAATTTGACAATTTAAAGAAGAAATTTAAACAAAATTAGAAGAGTTAATTTTTTGACAATAAACTATCAATTTCTTTCAAATTGTTACTTACTTTCAATTTATTTATTAACTGAGTTTCGTCTTCAACCGGTTTTTTAACCGCTTCGTTTTTGGCTCCTTCGGTTTGTGGTTGTTGTGGTGGTGGCTCAGGATTTGATGAGGTTACAGGAGCAGTGGTACTACTATTGGTGTTTGTTGTTCCTTGGGAAGAAGGTGTAGTATCTTTGGTGCTGATATCATCAAGATAATGATTTGATAATCAAGAGAAAAAGCAGAAATATTAATTAATAATACAAAAAAGAAATTGAAAAAAAGTTCAATTTAGCTCTGAGCGAGAGAAACTTCCTGTTGACAAGGGAGGGAAAACAGGAAGTTAAGATGAAACATCAAACATTGAAAAATGAGATTATTTTTTTCAAATGATTACTGAATTTGTTATTAACGATAATTGAATATAAATGATTACCTTTTGCCTTTTTTATTACCCTCCAAAGTTGCTAAATGTGCCTCGAGTGCCTCCAATAAAGAGGAAGGTGCCTTGGTTAAATCTGGAATTTCACCTTTATCGATGCCAATGTTTTCGGCAACTTTTAAAAATTCACCAACTTTATCCATTCGAATGAGAAACTTTTTATAAATTTCCAAAGCATCTCGACATTGTTTCTTGTTCATGGAGAAAAATTTTTCCAACAAATTGATTATTCCATCATTGTAACATGCGAAAAGTCTGATAAGATCTTTAAAAAGAAGCATAAATGCTCCCTTTATGACACCATTGGTCAGGTTATTTACTGGACAATCAAATTCGAGGAGAGCGTCAACTTGATTCTGCAGAACAGATAATGTTTTAAGAAGCTTTTCTGAAGGCATAGTCCTCAGGACACCATCTTCTTTTCCTCTCTTGATTTTAGCGAAATCGAATGCCACAGTTCGGTATGATAAAGCTTTATCATTGATATACTTGGAATATCTTTTGATATAAGTTGACATGTCAAAGCCTTTTTGATTACTTCTATCAAGAAAGTCACCTAACTGAAATTGACAATTATTAGAGGCCAAATACTGAGTGAAACGCTGAATGCAATTAAATAAAGAGAAGATAAATTTCATATTAGCAATCATTTTTGTTGGATAAAATTTTTTACAAAGTATCTAATTATTACCTCATTTCCATAACACATCAAATGATGTACAGTTATGAGAGCTTTAAAAACGACAACCCAAGAAGTATGGTTTGTCCTCTCGATCAGGAGATTTGCTAATTGTGGTATAGATACATTAGGTTCGTGGGTACACTGAAGTAAATCTGAAAAATAAAATAAGATAATAACAATATTGAGTTAATTGAATCTGAATTTGAGACAATCAATTAGATTTCATTAAGATGCATATGGAAATAGAGGGATTTTCCATGGAGTTTTTCAAGTAAAATACAAAACCGTTATGATGAGAAGGTTGATATGCATGATTACTTTTTCAAGAAGAGGAATATCAATAATTTACAATAGAATTACTCTTGAAAAGAGAAAGGATTCAACAGAAAAAAGGGTAGGGCAAAAGAGAGAGAGAGAGAGATTGTGATGGAAAAGACCGAGTGAGTATTATTATGGGGAATTATGATGTAATACTTACAATCTAAATGTTTCTTTTTAGGTCCAATAATTTCTTCCGTTGTTGCCTTACAAACAACTCGAGCCAATCCTTGTCCAGCAAGAGCATATCGGGCTGCGTTTAACCTATCATTTAATGTTTGTCCTTGTCCTGCTTTGGCCATTTCTGGGAAAATGTCGATTTAGTAATCGATTTAAGGAGAAAGGATTACAATCGCCAGAAAGATATTGATGAATAAAGATGGAGGAGTATAATGAAGAGAAAAGTAACACCAATTGTTATTTCAGCGCGAACACTGGTCACCTGAAAAAGAAGAAGACAATAAATGGTTGAGAGAATTGATGAGATAATGTTGACATAAAAATAGATTTGAACTTGGGATTGTTAATAAAGAAAATGAAGTGAGAGTGAGTGAGAAAGTGAAAGAGGATAAAGAGACAAAGATATGGAACAGAAGCTTTTGCATAACAAGGGATAAAGAGAAAGAAAAAAAAATTAGTATTTAGAGAGAAAGAAAGAGAGGGAAAGAGAAAAGAATTAAATTATTGGAGAAAAATATGAAACCAGAATAATTTTTCTATAGAAAATGATAGTTACCCTAACGAGTTAAGAAAACAAAGAGAGAACAGTCAAATCTCTTATAGTATTATGGGAACGGAGATTGAAATTTAAGATAATCAACATTGAAAGAAAATTAATTTGATTCTAATCTAAATCACAAAATGAATCATCAAAAAAGAAAAGGGATTAACTGAAAAGAGAAAGAAAAATCCAAGACAAGTGAAGTAATTGAACCTTTGATTGGGCGCCATTAAAGTCTATTTTGTTACCATTTCTATTGTCTCATCTTTATGGATTCACTTATGAGTTAATTTTTCTCCTTCTAATTAATTAATCTAATTAATCTGTGTACGTGTTCACCCAATAATCACTGGTCTTGACCTTTTCTCTCTTCAACAATGTAACATTAAGAGTTTTTTTTCTCTGTATTTGGTTAATTAACAAAAGAAATTGGTTATTGTTTTCTTACCTTTTTTGTTCTCTTTGTGGTCACTTTAATCTCCTTTGATTAATTATTGTTTCCGATTATCCATTTGTTGATTAATTACTTTAATCTATCAGTTAAATTGAAAGGAAATTTAAATACACAAATTAAAGAGAAAATGTCAAGTGACAAGAGAAAGAGTAAAATGAAGACTGGTTAATGTTGTCAAGATGGAAAAGAGAATAATTTTGTTCTATTCTCTTTCTTTTCTTCTCTTTCTATTTGATGTTCTTTCTGCTGCTTCTCAGATTCTGAATTGAGAATATCATGAAAATATTGGAATTCGTGGTGAAAAAAGACTGAGAAGAAAAGAGAAGACACAAAATGTAGACAGAGAAACGAAAAAGTGAAAAATATGAAAAAAAATTTTCAGAGTAAATGGATGAAAAGATTTTTAATTGTTCCAACAATTAAAACTTACTCTTCTTCGTTAATTGTGTTGAAAGAATTGAATGAAAAACATTTAATTGTAATTGGGATGATAATCTATTACCAAAAAGGAAAACAATTGTAATTAAATAACATCCGATTAAGATTAACTTTGATTCGGTGAAATTGATTAAAAACAAAAGTTAAACAATTCTTATTCTTGGTAAACAAGTTTATTAACTAATTGCCATTAGTTATTTTCCAACAGTTAACAGATTATCATGTTAACAATTAACCCCCATCAAGAATTAAATCAACACGAAATTCAATTAATTTGTAAATTATTCAAATCCCATTTGATTGTTGAAAGTAAATCATAACAAACAAGAGTAAATTATGATAATATCAATTCAATAGCAATTAAATCAAATAATCAATCAAATGTCACTAGTCAACTAGTTGCAAATTAATTAAGGAATCAAGTTAATTATCTGAGCCATTTGTTGATTTATCAGGGTAACAATTAAGGATTATTAGTCTTTGGAAAATTTGATTTAATAACATTGATTATTTTTCCAATAATTAAACTAATTGAGAATGAGAATCAGTTAATTGGATTGTGACACTTTAACCTTGATTAACGATTCGACAGTTTCAATCATCGAACTCAATTAATTGTTCTCGAGTTAATTAGTAAATTAATTTTCTGATTAATCTAAATGATTGTTGTCAAAATTTTCCATAGAAAGTAAGCCATTGATTCAATAGTTTCCATCGGCCTCAAGTTCAATAATCGATAAAATTTGGACCAAATTTCGATTTCAAAATCTTCTCATTACAAAGGCAGTGATTAGGTTGGTTCCAACTAAATTTCCGTCGTAATTAAGTCCAATTGGTAGATAAAAAAGAGATCAAATTAATCGGAGGTTCCGTTGAGTTGTTCCGTGATCGCTTCGTCGTCGGTGATCACTTTCTTCGTGGCATCAAGCAATTCCTCGCGAACTGAATCAGGTACTAATTTACGAGCTTCTGGTACTACGGCGTTGACCAAATCGTCGATTGTAATTGTCTCCACGTCTTTGCCTTTGATGAATTGTTTACACATCTCAACGATTTTCTCGCTAAATTGTGTTTCGATTAACCGATTATGAAGAAGCTTCCGAAGTTCATCACGAGCTCCTTTTCTTTCCAACAATTGATTAGCTTTGGCACGAACTTCCTCAGTAATCGAGTCCATAATTACGATTAACAATTAACTGTAACTGTGAAACACTTCAATCAACAAAGAAAATCAACAATTAAAACGCTGAAAATCAAACTAATCACGAGTAACCTTCTAGGGTTCGTCTATGAGCTACAATCTGTTTCTTTAGGTTTTAATTGTTGTTTTGTGAAAAGTTAATTGTTACCAAGAGATTCTAATAGTTGATTAGCTTTTTAATTAATTGGCTAGAGTTTAACTGTAATTGTTTACAGAATAAATTATATTCGTTTATTTGATGTTTTCCTTTTTCAATTTAGTTTTTTCGAGTTACAATTAGATTATAATTTAATTGTGATTATAATCACATTTTTTTCGGGAAAATTGTTTCAATTACGATTATTATTAAGGGCAGATTATTGGATTTAATAAGTAGTAATTAAATAGATTTAGATGAATGGAATTGATTATTGCTACTTTGAGATTAGCAATTAAATATTTTGATTTTTCTTAAATTGTTGATTGACTAGAATGTAATTGAGAAAAAGAGAGAAAGTATTTAAATTAGTAAATTGTTGATTAATTAAATAGCATATTTGGGAATATAAATTATTATAGTTGATTAATTTTTCCTTGAGATCTAATTGTTTAATCCAATTGCGTTTCCATTTATATGGCTTGATTATTGATTCTTTTTTATTTTTGTTAATTGTTGATACAATTTTCCTTTGATTGGCTCATCATCAAATTTAGTTTCTTAATTGCATTTTTCCCGATTATCTGCCATTTAATTGCTTTAAGATTTTCAATTAGATTTCATGTCCATTGGTTGATTTGCACTTGATTTATTTTGGTGAACGCTTCTTAATTGGTTGTAAACTCGTGGTTAATTAAATTACTTGTTAAGTCAATTATGATTAAGTTAATTGCATTTTGTTTTGACAAAATTGAAAAGCATCAATTTCTCAATAGGTATAAACTAAATACCTAATTGTTAATTGTAACTGAGATTCTTGGTTTCATGTGAATGTTGATTAATTTGTAGCAATTTAAGGTTTTTGTTCAAAGTTGTTTGTCTTAATTGTTGAACATTTAAAATATTATTTAAATGGTGGTCTCGAGGCCAGAGATCGTGATACTGATGAAGATGATGAAGTTCGTGGTCGAGATGAGGATGGACGATGATTAGATTGACGAGATGGTGTTGATTGTGGACTTTTAGTGTGACGATTAACGTTTGATTGTTTGTTAATCATTTTCCGAGGATTTTCTGTTTCTAAATAACGTTCATCGTTTATTGATGAATTTAATGAATCAACTAAATCATTATTATTATCATTTGAAGTTGATGAGCTCAAACCATCTCGTGAATGTCGACCAGATGATGAGCGATTACGGTGATTATCATGACGGGAACGATGGTCATTCTTAATTGTTGTGACTGGTAGGGAAGCAGCTCCATCGATAAGATCACCCGATTCGAGTGTAACTTCATCGTAAATGTGATCACTTGATGAGCGTTTTAATGAAGCTTGACTGCGCGATTCACCACCACTTCGTAATCGTGATCTATGAGTACCACCAGTCTTATAATTAGCGGAGGATGTTGATGATTTGGTCACCGATGAAGTCGATGATTGTTCAGTGATCATTGATGAACGTTTTTTGGCTCGCAACGATTGAAGCTGAGAACTGGAAAGTTGTGGTCGTGGTGCAAGTGGCTTATCAAATTCGAAGACAATTATTGCCGAGTCTTTGATTTTCTGTTGCACTTCGAGTGGTAAAAGTGACCAATTGGGAGCGATAACTGCCTGGTTAACATTCTGTACCAATGAACGTTCACAGTGCCGATACATTTTACGAACAAGGGAAACATAGGGCTCAGCGTACGGACCATAACCAAAGGCTTTCTCGTTCTCTGCGATTGAGATGATGTTATTTAACTTGACCAGCGTTTTACAGGCCGTGTCCGGTGTAAGGTTGTTCATGGCGGCGAGAAAAGTTTCCTCAAGAGCGGAAATATTCCAGGAGTTACCTCGTCCCAAGGAGATGAAAGAATCACTGGCCACGATTAGATCGTAACTTCCGGCCACAAAGTTAACACATTGTTCAATTAAACGGCCGATAAGTGAGAAAATTGGTTCAGCCCATTTGACCTTTGGTGTTGTTTTCGCTAATCGGTCAACATTTAAAATTACATCGATGATCGATTTAGGTGTCATTGAGTGTATCGTACTTTGGAAGCACGAGTTTAATATGGAACTGGGTAGACAAGCAAAGGAACGAGTTGGCCAGAGGCGACCAAAATGTTTACCTGACCAGGTGAGACACTTTTGATGGAGGGTTGAGAATCCACACTCGGAGGAAACGATTAGACAATCGACTATGCCTACGATACAATCGTTACATGGTTTATGGAAAAAGTGGCAATAAGTTTTTTCCAATTCATAGATGACAACATCTCGAAGTGTATCAAGAGCCAATAGGTTGGAAAGTAAGGCCAACTCTGCGAGGTTTAGATTATCATCGTCGGGAATGTTTAAGGCACCACTGTAAATGTGACATAAAGCAAAGTGAACGGAGGTATAACTAAATCCTTGAAGGGTAATAGTTGATGTCTTTGAGTCGCGCCATTCACCGGAAAACATGGCCGCAAAGTATGGACTTCGAGCGATCAGGATACATTTATGAGCCTTAATACTGCTTGAATTGTCCACTTTAATGGTAATGTCAGAGTTAATATTGTTCATGTACATTTGAAGCAAATCTTCACCCAATTTGGAGCACGCGTTAATTGTACGCTTATACATTTCGTTATTATCGTTGTTGTCAACACTTGAATTCTCATTGTTGTTGTTATCACTAAACGTTGAACTATTTGCCGATGTTATTAGTTGATGTTTTTGTTTAGATCCTATGGAATTCAGTTTATTGCAACTTGTATCATCATATTGTTCACTTTCCGGTTGACCTTCACCGGTCGATATCCAAAGAGAACTTGATGGTTTATTGGTTCGAGTTCGATTCGTTTTAATACTTAATAACCAATCTTCTTCATCTCCATGGGGATTTTCTGAATTGAGGGAAGATAACATTCCACTGTCCATTGAGCTCATCGGTGATGATGATTGTCGATTAAAATTTTTGTTTCGATTTTTGATTTGTAAAAAGTTACGATCAGTCGTCGATGGTCCACCTCTTAAACCAGATGAGCAACTCGCTTGTCGATGGTAATTCATTGATTTTCCTGAGATCAGGTGACTACCAATTTGTTGATTACTCTTTTCGAGCGATTGTTGATTATTATTATTATCATCGCTTTGACTTGACCTACATCGAGTTGACCTGGAGGTTGATAATTTCATCGAGAGTATGGAATCATTTTTACTACTCCTTTCACCTTCATCTTTTTTTGAATTAACTTTAGTTTTGTTTTTGTCCCGTTCAATTGTTCGAGATTTTTGTTCTGAACCACCATCAGTACCAACAGAGTTTAAATCGATGAACATAAAGCCCGAAGAGGTCATATTATTTGTCTTTTCTTCTTTGGTACTTGGTTGACAATTCGGTAAACTAGCAGACATTGAATCCATATCGACGAAAAATTGGAACAATGAACTACTCTGAGATCGAGTGGTCAAACTTTCCGCTGCTTCGGCCAATGGGGTGATAACATCAACATCATTTACAATCGCTTCCTCATTTTCGAGGGAATCTTTGGTTGATGAACAATCTTTAGGAATGCAATTTAAATTTAACTCGAATGAATCAATTTTATGTCGTAAATTGTTAACCAACATCGGTTTCTCTTCAATCAATTTAAACATTTGATCGGCATCATTGTTGTAAACTAATTTCTCCTCAGGAATATCTTTTCGCGATGAATCTTCAAGGGGAATTGATGAGAGTCGATCAAAAGTCCCACTTCTAACCATTTGACTCGAACCACTTGAAGTTAATCCTCCATCTTCACGTTCCTTGGTTCTAGTGGCCAAACTATCCTCGTAATCGGTACTCTGATGGTCATTTTTGTTATTATCCTCCGATGAAAGGCTAATATTATTCAAGGAATCAGTAACAAGCTCCAAACTATCCGAGGGTTTAAGACTATCCTTGTCGATATCCCCTTTACCAGATTCTTTAATATCATCGAGACTATCATCTCGAACTAGGTCATTATTGTTGATACCAATTGGATTGAGTTCATCTCCACCGGATGATGAGATTGACTTTTTATCAATACCAGATTCTGATGTCATATTAATAGTAATATGATCTCGTAATTTATCAATAATCAATGTCTCCTCTAGACTAATATCTTCATGGCAATAAACTTTAGATAGAAAGTCAGTAATCTCTTTACAGTCAATTGTTGACGGAAGTCGATAGGAATTGAATCCTTTACGTGAATGTTTGGTAACAGTGTAATCAAAATAATTAACCAAATGTGAATAGAAAAGTGGAACTCGAGAAGCCAATAAGCAGCTATGACAAGATTTCCTAAAGGTATCGCCTTCGATGAAAGTATCAGCAAGAGTCTCTTTATCCAATAACCTGATTATCGATACACAGATCACCCAAAATAAGGAAGGAAAAAGAAAGGAATAGAATTGTAATATTTTCTGGTAAATAGAATAGAAATTGTGACAAAAAGAGAAAAGAACAAAATAAAACCAAACCAACTCCCCTATCGATCGATGAGAAGGTTTTGGTTACACTTTTTTTTTCTCTCTTTTTCTAACATTAATTGTAATTAATTCTGTTAAATATTCACCTTGTTAAATCTTGTTGTAAAGTCTTTCGACAATTGGAACGTAATTTGTTTAATTCTTTAGCACATTTAGCCTGAAAAGCGTCATTAATGGAAGCCAAAAGAGGCGATGATGATGGTAACCGTTTTCTTGGTGAATTTTTAACCAATGAGATCGGTTGTTGGTTAGAGTGATGATTAGGTGAACTTAAAGAAAAGGCCATTGGAAATTAACTAAATGGTAACAATTAAAAAGATACACAACAGTTGATGGAATAACAATCATCTGAGAATCGATCATTTAATGATTAACCATCCAAAACAATTAAAGTAAAATGATGTAAAGGAGAGAGAGAGAGAGAGGTTGATGAAGACAGAAGATGAAACCGTCAGGTGAATGAGAATATAGAAGAAAATTAAATCAATTCAATTGGAGTAAATGAAGAAAAGTAAATTGTTGATAACAGTAAAATAATAACCGGCAATTGGAATTAAAATGTTGCACAAAAGGAGGAAGAGCTAATTGTTGATTCTAATTTTAAATTACTCAAACAATTTAAAACAGAAAACAAAGAGAATCACAATTAGAATAATAATTTTACTCTTTATTGATGTTTTTCCTTTATGATGGTTACCAATTGAATCCAATGGTTGTTGTTGTTGTTGTTGTTTTCTCAAGTAGCAAGAAATTAACTGAACCATTTCACAATTTCGTAATCATTTCAGTTTATATATTCAACTGTTTATTATTATAGTTGTTAGATGAGAAAGCAATCAACACAATCAACACAATGTCACAAACAATTAACTCAAAATGAGGTTTAATTACAGATGATGATGATGATTAGATGAGAGGAGATAATGTAGTTAAGTTGAACAACCAAAAGATTAGATAAATTTACTTATTCATCTACTGGAATGAAATGTTAACCAGTGGAAATTGATTATTTCAATTTGGTGATTGATGGAGAAAAGAAAAATAAACAACAATCAAGAATTAGCAGAGAGATAAACACATTAGAAAACCAGAGATTCGGTTCCAAGGCTCAACCATTTTCTTTGTTGGAGCAAAATCAGTGAGCGATTTTCATGGTTCATTTTTTGTTCTATTCTATTTTTTCTCTCTCTCTCCCATTGATAGAAAACCGATAAACAATTAGAATTGTTTGCAATTATTGACATTTTCTTCTTACCTGTTAGTCTATCAAGGAGAACGTGTTACCTTTAATTTTGTTTTTTCTCTTCTGTTTCTTCAAATATGTTTACCTGGTTTTCGAGAGGAAAAAAGGTTATTCAATCACAAAGAATTAATTGTTAACTATTGTGGTTTAGTTTTGAAGGATAATTAAGGTTGAGAATTGAATTTATCACTTTAATTATCGCTATTAAATTGTCCAAATTAATTCCACCCAAGATGGAAAACCTTGATTGTTTGGTAAACAACAATAGCTTTGGAACTCACAATCAACTGTTGGTCAAGATCATCAGATGGTAACTTTAATCAGATGAATTAATTGTTTAAAATCAACCTCATTTCGGTTAATCACTTTCACTATACAGTGTTTACCTGTTGATTGTAATTGGACTGTAATTATCAATGAAAAGAGAAAGTGTGAGAAATGATTAATTATGAAGGGAAAAAACTTCGAAAATTTTTTTTTTCGATCATTTTTTTTTCGTATTCTTCCGATTGATTATTATCCTGATGATATTTTTCAGAAATTTCGTTCTTAATCTATTGATTGATTTATAATAGAAATAAATTGAGATCACAATTGGATTGACATTGATAATAAATTTAATTACAAAAAATGAGATCATCATTTAATCACAATCAGCAGGTCACTTATACAAGAGATAATGAGAAAGATATCATTGTTTATATCGTTAGAATTAAACACAAGAGAGAGAGAGAGAGAGAGAGAGAGAGAGAGAGAGAGAGAGAGAGATGAAGATGATAATCAGCTGTAAATGCATTTCTCTCTTGATGTTTTGGTTTCAGTTATAAATTATATTCGGTCACTTATCAAAGTTTCCACAGCTGATTATCAAATTAATTAGAAATCAGTTATATTCCAATTAATCTATAAATTATCATATTAACATGATAAATTGATAAAATTCGATTGATTGAAAGAGAAGAGATTAATTAAAAGAAAGGTTGACTAAATTGTCGACAATCATTAAATAGATGTAAGTACAAATGGTTGACATTAAGTTGATGGTGTGTTGAAGATACAGATGATGATGATAATGTTAATGATCAGAGGATTGAAAGCAGAATTTAAAAAACCAGAATCCATGATGAAAATGAGTTTCCAATGTTTCGTACGTTCATTTGTCTGGACGATATACTTTTACAACAGTTACAACTTTTAATTGCTTGGGTTTATTTGCGGTGTTAAAACGGTTAAATTAAACTGTGTTTATGGTCAAGTGAATCCCAAATTTGCAAACATAAATCAGGAAATAATTTATGTAAAAGTTAATCCCAATTAATTAACTAGGAAAATATAGTTGACAAGGTCTGAGGATCTTGACTGTATTATAATATCAGATTTACAAGTTGATCTGATTAATGGAAAAAAGTGATTTGCAAATTTGAATTTAAAGAGAAAATTTTTCCTTTTCTGACAATTAACTATTCTATAAGCGTTGTTATTAAACCTTCCATCATCAACCAAATGATCAAAGGCACAAAATCCTCGAAATTTTTATGTATATGAGAATATAAAGTTTCCAAAGGAGGTAAAACATTGAGAGAGAAATACACAGAAAGAGGGAGTCGATGAAAATTTGTCAATTCTAAATATAAGCAGGCGATTCTTGACCAGTTAAAAGACGATACATTGAAGTAGGCATTGTTTTCATAGCAATCTGAGAGAGAGAGAGAGAGAGAGAGCAAAACAATCAATTAGTCAAATTTTCATATAATTTAGATTGATCAATTTACCTCTCCTACTGAGGTTGCTAAAAGATTGACAATCCGTTCATGTGGCACAGCGACAACACTTTGTCCATTAATTTCAATGATTCGATGACCCACTCGGACTCCTCCTCGTTCAGCTATACCACCACGTAAAAGACTACAAATCTGATTGAAAGAAGAGAAAACAAAATTTAATTAAAATTTAGCCGAAAAAAAAACCAAAATCAATCAAATGACCAATTGATAATACTGACCACTCCATTTTGAACACTAAATCCTAATTGATATTTTGTATCAGGTCTCTTTATTTTCACTTCAACCACAGGCGCACAAGGAACCAGTGTCATTTTCACAGCTGTTTGATTTTTTGTATTCTAATTTAAATTATAAACAAAAAATATGATTAACAATTTAATTATCATTCAATCAAAAACTGTTTCCATGAGTTGATAATATCTCATGAGTTGACAGAGTGTATAATTAATTAACACTTACTTTAATATAACTTTGACAAGTCGATAAAGGTAAACCTACAAGGCTGATTCCATTAATTGCTTTTTGATGAAGAAACAAACAATATTAATTCTGAGTAAAATTTTTTTCAAGTAAACAATTAATTACCAATTATTTGATCCCCTATGTTAATTTGTCCACACCGAGCAGCGGGACCTTGTGGTGTCATGTTAGCAATAACAACGGTGGGTAACATTGAGCCCCAACCAGATTCTACAATTACTATGCCCAATATCTCGCCCTTTTGCTTTGGAATAATTATCTGGACAAAAACGAAGAGGGAAAAAGATTTCGAATAAGATTGATTGATTAAAATCGTATTATCTTTTTTCCATGGGGCCGAAATTTTGACCATTGGGGTCAGTAGTTACACGTACTTCTTTTTGCCTATCCTTTTTGGCAAACATTTCCAGCTCATTGCCGAAAATTTCCTGAGAATTTAAAACTTCTTGATAATCCATTTCTTTAACGAAACTAGAATCTTCTATTCCGTTTGCCTTCAGAAATTCCATATAGGCAACTTGAAACGCTTGTCCAATCGATTGAGCAATAAATTGGGCTTCTTCTGACTCGAAGACATGGCATATCATTCTTGGAATACGTTTCATTTTATGGTCATTGGAATCATCTGAAGGATTGACAACACGACGTCGAGTCATTAAAACAAGAAGATCACCAATATCAGCTATATAAGATATTGTTCTTAGTGCATGGTCCATCATTATTTCCTATTGATTAATGATAAAAGAAAAGTCAATCAATAACTAATCATCCAAGTAGCAAATTAAAATCTAAAAGATTAAGAATAAAGTTACTTTTAAGTCTGTATTTAAAACCATAATTTTTTCAGTAGAAATAAATAAATCCACTTCGGTGCTGGGTTGAGATTCACCATCCGGAGCCTAATAATTAATCAAGGAAATTAAAAGAAAATCAGTTAATTAGCTAATTATTTAAGACAGAAAATCAAGGTAAACAATGGGTTAGATGATTGATGATGATGAAAAAAGGGGAAAATCATATTCCTTCAAATCCTTACCAATGACTTTTATAGCAATTGTAAAGATACATTTGGAAAGCATGAGAAAAAAAGTTGAATGAATATTTTACAAATACGAGTTAATAAGGAATTAAAATTTTTTCATTACAAGTAGATTCAGGTAATGAAACAATGAACGAAAAATTATCAACGGAAATTGGAAATAAATCATTACTGTTAATTGGTTCATTTCCGGACAATACATATTACATATCCATACGAAAGAAGCAAAAAAAAGCATTACTATGTAACAGAACTGAATAGTATCAGGTTTCAAATTCAGTTTTTGTGTAAGAAGAATCTAATTTGATTAGTTAGCTGAAAATCAATTATAGACAACCAATAATAATGATTATCATGTTTTTTTTGCTTCAGTCTCGCTGATGAACAACCGATGAGGATAAGTTGAAGGGAGTGCCCAGGTAATTTCTCACCTTAATCCGGGAAACCGCTTCCTCAGCTTGCATCATTCGAGTCGCTTTGGTTGGTTGTCCATTGCATATTAATTGGGTTGATCCAAGGTAACGAGCTCTAAACAGAACTCCTTCAATAAGAGCTAATGGTGGAGATGATGGTGAGAATATGAATTAAGTATAATAAAAAAAGAATAAAAAAAAAGGAAACAGATTATTAAGAGAACGTTTAAATTAAATTAACGGTTTTCTGTTATTCTATTTGTCAATTTAATACTCACTTTCTCGAGGACTGTTCTTTTTTCTAATGTAACCATTATTCTGTTGCAAAAGGATAGACAATTAAGTGAGTTTATGTTGTTGTTGTTAGTTAGTTAATTTGATAATATCACATTTAAAAGCTCATAACTTTTAGATGAATTTTATATTGACTCATTGTGTATGTACATATAGTGGAAAGATGATGATGAAAGAAGCAGAAAAAGATGCAATCAAGATAAGATGGGAAAGTTACTGCTTTATTATCAAAGGTAGACAAGGTAGGTTAGGTTAATTAATTATTAACTGATCAGATGAGAAGATGTAAACAATCAAAAATAAACATTAATCTACCGGTATTTGTAGTTATCATGAGTTTTTCAAGAGCTTAATCAACATAAATCAAAATTACAACAAATATTAATTTAGTCTTATTGGTTAAATGAGATGCTGTTGATATAATTAACGATTAACGATATTTTTTAGTCTAATTTTGTACAAGTTGCTCATTCATTTATATAATAATATATATAAATTGTAAGTTAATATACTGTTGATTTATTCAAAAATTGTATTCCGATTATTATATATATATAATTAACCTGAACAAATTGTGTATGAAATAATAAAAGAAATTAACTAACCAAGAAAAAAAGTTTATATTAAATGAATTGAGAGAAGGTCATGGAAAATTAGATGTCAAATTATTTAGATGATAATTTAGCTCTTGCAAACAATTAAAGGCTGAAACATGAGCACAATCTTGAAATATTGGCAATTTATTGATCATAATCAATCGACAGAAAAAAAAGATTCAAGTTTGAAAATTATCATGATAGGAAAGGGAAAGTTAATTGTAAACATTAAGTTAATATTCAGTTGGATAATAATCTTTGATTGTGATCATGTCAACAGCTCTTTTTTTTGCTGATAAATTGTTAGTTTGGTGAAAGGAGCAGATTGTAATTAAACTTGTTAGTCTGATTTTCAGCTGTTAAATTTAATTGTAATGAGAATTAAAATAAAGGAGAAGCTGATTACCTTTTCATCAAAGTTATTTTTTTCTTCGACTCTTTGTGCACCCAAAAGACGATCAGTTTCTTGATCAGTATCAGATTCTGAAAGTAAAAAAGAAATTTGAAAAAAAAAGATAAGTTAAAAGTTAAATAGAACAGAAACAAAAAGGTAAACAAAGAAAGAAAAAAAAAGAGAAAAAGAGGTTAATTAAAGATAGGAATGGGTCAACACAAAGAAGAATAAGAGGAAAAAGATGTAATTCTCATCATACCTTCATCGAGATGGGAATGGGCTTGATGTTCATTCATTTTATTTGAATTGTCCTTTGATTCGAATGATGATTTTGGTTGATTTAGATTGGATATTTTTCGAGAAGAACCATGGTCTTGTTCATATCTGGTAGAAACAGAGAAAAGAATAAGAAAAATGTAAGTTTTTTGAGAAAGGAAGATGAAGAATGAGAAGAAGAGAAGGCGAGTGAGAGAGAGAGAGAGGGAGCTAAAGAAAGAGAGAAACGAAGATTAAGTGTGAAAGATTGAAGAGGGAAGATAGTGAGTAAGAGAGGAGCAAACATGAAAAAATCAATAAGAAACTTAGCTCGATAAGGTTAAGCACATATACCAATCAAAAATTTAATTAACAATTGAAGAGGGGGTAAAGACATAGTTGGGATTTGATTAAAGTAATTGATAGAGAAAGAGGGGGAAGTGGAAAGTGAGCGATAGAGAGGCAAAAAAAGAGATTTGATCAAGGGAGTAACAACTTTAGATTTGATTGTATGGTTTACTCATTTATGTGCCATTGTG